AGGGGGGTACCCGGGGGGGCTGGTGTGTGTCCCCCCCCCAACACCTCCCCGCTGACCCTACCGGGCTGTGGCACAGGGCGCTGCAGGCCCTGCCGAAGCTGGGGGGCGCCCCCAACCTGCCCCCCCCGAAGTGGGTCACCCCCCCCTCTCTGCGCCGCCGTGGGGACCCCAAGGCCAGGTAACCACTGGGGTCCCAGCTGTGGGGGGGGTGGCACTCGTGTGACCCCCCAGGGGCTGGCCGTGACCTTGACCCGGGCTGGCCAAGCCAGGGGGTGCGGCAGGGTGGGGGGTGAAGCCCCATTTCCCCCCCCATACTCCAGGTCCCCCAGGGTGCCCACACCGTGGCACGTCACCGCGTCCTGGGGGGGCCACCAGCCCCTCGAGCTCCCACTGAAGAAAGGGGGGGACACAAAGCCCCGACACCAGGTTAGTGGGGATGGGGAGAGCCCATTTGGGGGGGTGCTGCCTGTGCTGGGACCCTCATCATCGGGTGCCCGCCTGGTCCTGGGGGGGCCGTGTCACCCCAGGGTGGCCCTGGCGGGGGTGGCAGCAGCGTCCCCCCCCCGACAGGGCAGGAAAGGAGCCACGGACCTGGTGCCGGAGCCAACCCCGTGGGACTCGCAGCGCGGCTGGGGCTGGCCCCCCACGGAGGGTGAGGTCCCCCCTGGTCTGGGGTGGGTGTTGGGGGGTGCCCCCCCCCCAGTTTGGGCCAGACACCGACTCCCATCTCTGCCCCCAGAGCCGGGGGGGGGTAGGCGGTCCCTGTCCTTCCTGACGGAGGATGGCACCGATGACAGTGGCACCTCGGAGCTCCCCGAGGACGGACCCCTCAGCAGCACCCGCAGGTCCCTGCTGGAGGAGCTGGGGGGCGGATGGGGGGACCCCCCGTCCCTCGCCATCCCCTCCCTCACCCCGTGGCCCCTGGTGGCCCCCGGGGGCTCGGCTCTCCCCCCGCAGCCCCTGGCCTCCAGCACAATGCTCTGGGCTGGGGACGAGCCCGGGGAGGGACCCCAGAGCCAGATTTTGGGGGGAAGAAGAACGAGGGGTCCCCCCCGGCTTCTCCCCAAGCCTCAGGGGGAGTTTGGAGCTGGGGGGTCTCCCCTGTGCCCCCCCCAGCGTTGTGGCAGGGTCCCGGGGGGACACGGGGTGACTCCTGGGGCTCCCCGGTTCCGTGGCTGCTCCGTGGGACATCGGAGCCCTGGGGATGGGGACACCCCCTGGGCTGCGGCTCAGGACCACCCTGGTGTCCCCCGGGGACCACCCGTGGGCTGGGCAGGGCCGGGCATTGCCCCCCCGGGTGCCCCCGAGGTGGGGGTGACAGTGTTTGAGGCGGGGGCCGGGGGATGTGACCGCCTTGGGGACAGCAGCGCTGGCAGCGAGAGCTTCGTCACCGCCGTGGAGATCCTGGAGCCCAGCGAGGCCGGGGGGGCCCTGGGGGTCCAGCACCGCTGCTCCCCCCAGCCCAGGGCAGCTGGGGGGCCGGGTGGACCCCCCTCCCCAACTAGAGCTGCCGCCGAGGAGCTCCCCCCCACCAGCCCCCCAAATCCGGAGCGGGTGCAGGGGGAGGATTTTGGGGGGGGCTCAAAAGCAGCCCCTGGCTGTGAGGAAGGCTCCGGGGTGGGCGATGTGGGGGAGCTGCTTGTCCAGCTCCGGGGGTGCAGCCTCCGGGGGTCCCCCCCCCGCACTCCAGAAGCCCCTCACAGCCAGGACAGTCTCGCCCCTGGGGATGTCACCCCCCGGGGGACAGAGCCCCCCCTGCACCGCCACGTCACCCCCAGGACCAAGAGCCGCCTCCAGGCCGCCGCGGCACGGCTTGGTGCCTCCTCTTCCTCCTCCTCATCCCTCTTTGACGAGTCGCTGGAGATGCCCCGGAGGCCCCCAAGGCTCAGAGTCCCCTGGGGGGTCTCCAGGGACCCTGCCCCCCCAGGGAGGGGGGATGTGTCCAGCGGGGACAGGGAGGGGACGGGATCTTCGGATGACACTGAGATCCTCCCCGGAGCCCCCAGCCAGCCCAGCTTGCCCCCGGGGGCCAGCAGCTCCCCCAGTTCTAGCCCCACGGTCCTGCTGGTCCCTGGGGACCATGGCCATCCCCAGGGTGCTCCATCAGATGGTCAAGGTTCCCCTGGCTCCAGCCCCACGGTCCTGCTGGTCCCTGGGGACCACAGCCACCCCCAGGACACCCCATCAGATGCTCAGGGCTCCCCTGGCTCCAGCCCCACAGTTCTCCTGGTCCCTGGGGACCACAGCCACCCCCAGGACACCCCATCAGACGCTCAGGGCTCCTCTGGCTCCAGCCCCACAGTTCTCCTAGCTCCTGGGGACAATGGTCATCCCCAGGACACCCCATCAGATGGTCAAGGTTCTCCTGGCTCCAGCCCCACGGTTCTCCTGGTCCCTGGAGACCACAGTCACCCCCAGGACACCCCATCAGATGGTCAAGGTTCCCCTGGCTCCAGCCCCACAGTCCTTCTGGTCCCTGGGGACCACAGTCACCCCCAGGACACCCCATCAGACGCTCAGGGCTCCCTCTGTGCCACCAGCAGCCCCAACCCCAGGGTGCTGGAGGGTGGCTCTGGGTGGCAGGACCCCTCAACCTTGGGGACACACCAGTCCTGGTGGCCCCATGGGAGCTTCAGCCACCTCCTGGCCCCACGGCCACCGGGCAGCACCGCGGTGGAGCTGAGGAGCCCAGTGGTGCCCCTGTCACCTGCTGCCTGCTCCGAGGAGCACCTTGAGGACGAGGAGAGGGGACAGGCACCCACTGGGTGGCACAACCCTGGTGGAGAGACCACCACCAGCTCAGAGGATGCCGTGGTCCAGGATGGGGGGGTGCACAGGGGGCCACCACGGCCCCTCTCGGACGAAGCCCTGCGGCGGCGGCTGCGGGCGCTGGGGGACAACCCGGGGCCCGTGACGGAGCTCACCAGGAGGCTCTACCTGCGGCGCCTGGAGGAGCTGGTGAGGGGACCCCGGGGGAGCCCAGCAGGTGAGTCCTGGGGACCCCCACCACCCACCCAACCAGTCCCCAGGGTGCTGATGGTGGTCCCCCATGCTGACATGGCCACCTCAATGCTGCCATGGCCACCCCAGGTCACAGCCCCGAGCTGGTGGCCGCGCTGCGGACGGGCCACGTCCCCGACTGTGCCCAGGACGAGCTGGTGCTGGCCCAGCAGTTCGACCGCCCCGACCGCACCCGGCACTGGCGGGAAGGGCTGGTCAAGTCCAGCTTCAACTACCTCCTCCTGGACCCCAGGTAGGTCCATGCCGCTGCCCCACGTGTCCCCCCATGCCGTGGGGGTCCCATCCTTGGGAGGCATCAAGGCCCAAAGCTGGGGGTTTGCACCCCCAGGACCACCCAGAACCTGCCGCTGCGCTCCCACCGCCTGAGCCCGGCCCAGTGCTTCAGGACCTTCGTGGAAGCCATCTTCTACGTGGGCAAGGGGACACGTGCCCGGCCCTACTGTCACCTCGCCGAGGCTCTGAGCCAGCACCGCGCGGGGACACAGAAGGTGGGATGGGTGGGGGGATGTGGTGATGGGCACAGGGGGCTGCACCGGTGGGGCTGGAGGCTGTGGTGATGGGCACAGGGGGCTGGAGGCTGTGGTGATGGGCACAGGGGGCTGGAGGCTCTGGTG